GGCTGATTCCTTCCTACATCGATCATTGCTCGATCACCATTGGTAGAACAAGGAGGTCCGACGCAAGCTCGTGCCGCGCTGCGCTCGCCGTCCCCGACAAATTGCAATGTTACAAACTATATGTCGAGTCAACTCGCTAGAAGCACTGGTTTGGGGCGACATCGCGGCTCAGATTTCCTGACCTACACCCATGAACACCATTCAGTGAAGCGATCTCAGCATAGATTAGGGTTTGTCTTGCACCGTCATCATGAACTCTAAATGTCCTTCAGGTAAAGGTCCGTCCGAAATGCAAGATCTGCGGCCGAATGGTGACGCGTCGCGACGCGGCAAACAGCCGTGCTGTTGTGCGATTTGCTAACGCCTTCGGACAACTGTTCCCGTGTGCAACTCCACCCCGTCAAATCTTCTCTGAATTCTATATAATTATCGATTCGTTTCTTACAAACCTTCCTTCCACACAATAACCACTCCTATCTGTGATGATGCACGGTTTTCTGTTTCTCTGCGTCTAAACTTCTATGCTCGTCTTATCCTCTAGTCAAGAGGAGTTAGTCCTCTCGCGTCGAGGTTATACATACGTTTATAGTTCGTCACCATCGTCGCCGCTTTTCGCGCATTATTGCTAATTACTTGATTTATACTTTGTTCGCGCTGCGTTTGGTTCAATAGAGTTTTATTCGTTCATATAATTGCACAGCTTGTTGCTAAATACTATTACGGTTGTGAATGTGAAAACTTTGTTCATTCATTTGTATGTTTTCAATATTGATTTTATTGATTTTTTCCCTTCATAGGTACTTGTCGAGCTGCCTATCTATATTCTTATGTTGCTGGGTTTACTGTAGGTTATTAGCCGATTAGGTCTCTATTCATTCTGGGCGCAGTTGATCCAGCTTGTGGGCGTGGCTTCATGTTAGTGGATAGCCACGCCCACGAGTATTTATGTGACTCGACGTGACGTCATTACGATATGCCTTAGGTCCTTCCTACATGCAGTTAGACGCAATGCTCATTGATTGTCAACATTTCCCTTATTGATCTTGTACACCGATCGATTGATTGGTCCCCTCCCCATAATTACCATTTTCTGCGCATTTTCACGTGTTGCATTCACCCATCAATCCCCTAAATAACCAGCCAAAACTTACAATTACCAGATTGTCAGCGGTTTATGGATCGATCCGAATTGATCATTAATTTCTTGTCGCTTATGAGCAAACTGCCAAAAACAAGATGAATCGATCCATGGATTGATTGGCCTCCTATCGATTACTGGCAGCTGCATTGATCAATTACGTTGTGAGCCGTTCGTTCAAATTCACTTTCCTGCTGTCCCCGTTTGCTCTGTCTTCTCTTCTTTTCTGATTTTTATTTCTATTCTCTCGCCCGCAGCCGCCGTAGAAGGGTGTGCGTCTCAGTGTCTTATTCATTCTTTCTATTATTATCATATCTTCATGCAGAAAATTGGTTTCACTGATTGATTTTCTCATCAAAATTATTCAATGGTTAATGTAATTACTATGGAATCACGTGAATAACATGTATTATTGATTTATCAGTTGATAATTTTTTTGCAGTCGCGAAACAACTTAAACTTCTTGCCCTTACAGTTAGTCTCTGTCGTCAGAGCCCATCATGCGATAATGGCCATGAGCGTACGACTCACTCCAAAAGAGGGCCTGAGCAGAACTGTTAAAAATTCCTTACTCTATTACCGTATATATACTTGAAATCCCTGAGACGCGGTAGGCGTGGCTGCGTACTTGGGTTGAACGTGGAGGCGGCTAAGCTTTCCGTGAGGTATTTTCATATTGGGAGAGTTGTAATCATGTCTTTGTCCAACACAGATTAAAATGGCAGTCGTACCAAATCGAAATACCTCACGAGTGGCCAATCCTACGCCATGTTCGAAAGCCACGCCTACTCCGTCTCAGGGATAAGGAGTGTATCCGAAGGCAAAAAGAGGTGTTCCGAAGCACGCCCGGTTAGCTGCGTATTGTCATGTCGACTCTCTCTGCTTCATGTAAGTCTCTGCCTCCCTTAGCCGAGACTCTCGCAGCCGTACCCAGGCGTATTTGGAAACGCCCCTTTTGTTCCCAGGTATAGGATGTTCTGGTCGTCATCTATTGACACCAAGGAGGGCACTGTTAGCATAGCACACTCTAGGTTGGAGTGAACCATTCTATAGGGTCGCAAAAGGAACCCTTCATTGAACGACCATAACCATGTCAGTACGCACCAAAATACTGCACATTTTGTGAAGGCCTATCACGTCGGAAATTAGCTCGCAAAAGTAGCTGTCCTGGGTAGCTCCAAACCACCTGGGAACTAATATCGCTATAAAAAAGGTAAAAACCTTGATGTGCCTTTAGAACACATTTTCGTTTTCTTGTCTGACCGCAAGGACTTAAAGGAGGAATGTTTCTAAAGTGACGCTAGACAGTTGAGGGTTCACGCAGAATACAGGGGGGGGGGGGGGCAAAAAAAGTCACTTCGACCGAGTCACATATCAGCAAAGTTTTTGCAGCCCAGACAGAATACGAGTACCAGGGCGGAAGATACCCAAGATGTTCCTCGATAAGCAGGAGCTGGCTCTCGCCCATCACCTTCATGTACACCAAAATATGAAGTCATCTCCAGTCGCAGCCTGACTGGAGAAGACCTTTGGAATTCATGTCACCTCCAAACAGCTGCGAAACTTCTAGTATGGAGTCACCCATGGATAGCTACCTGGAGACCAGTACTCTCGATCTGGAAGACCTCCATCATCGAGCAGCTCCGTCAACGTCGCTACGGTCTAGGACATCATCTTCACCCCAGTCGCCAAGGCGCGGGTTGATGGTATGGACCGGACGTACCTGGAATGGAAAGACCAATATTTTCTTCGTGGACCCGGACTGAAGGTGAGCGCTGGCGGTTACATCGAGCAACTCGAGAAGAATATCCTCCCACATGTCGTCGCCCGTACCTTCTTGGAAACTTTGTACTGCTACAGCATTGGGTGCCACCACATGGAATCGAAGGGCGTTGGAGAAACTCTCGCCTACTTGGAATGGAAGGGGCTGAGTACCTAAAGAAGATGGAATATCCAAGTAGGTCACCTGACCTGAATCCCCTCAATTACCCGGTCGGGCGGATTTCAATAGGGTGGTCTGTAGTGGCGCAGAATTCAACGACTTCGTTGAACTCAGGCACCACATCGCGGTTGCGTGCCAGAATCTCGTCCAGAAGGCTGTGGCGGAGTGTCATGATAGTATTTAATATGCTCTTTAATATGGTGGTAGAAATGTCCGATCAGAATTTAATAAAGTGTAACTTATAGCGCCTCGAAAGTCAATGAAGAAAAGTGACTTTTTTTGCCCCCCCCCCTGTAGATGAGAGATTCCTTGAAGTTTCTGCGCCGTACACGCTCTCTCATGAACCCGATACGTGCTTTGCCGTAAAAACATACTGTACACTTAATTCTGAGGACGGTCCCAGCTATGTGCGAAATGACTGGTTCTGTAGCTGCAGTTGCGGGCCCCTTCCTTTGCTCAGAAAAGCATAATGTGGGGCTGGAAGGTAAGGACACTCGGGTGCTGCCTCCACTCTTGCGCTATCCTCAATGTCCAGCACCAAGACCGCGCAGCGAACCCGGACACAGTGGCATAGAACAACCATAAGTGAAGAGGCTAGCGCGTTCGGCTACGGTTAGGCATCTGGCTGGTCGCAGGGTAGGGACACTCGGGTGCCACCTCCCAACATCAGCGTCGGAAAAAGTGGCTTGCTACTTCACTACGAGCCATTCACCTTGCACATTGCAATGACCAGGATCCACCGAAACAAGGTACTGTTTGACTGTGAATTTTCTTAACTGCATTATTGCAACGCAGAGCTACATTTTGCTACACATTTCAGAGGGCAACTGTTTGAAAGAACGAGTGTGCGCAAATGTTTGAGCAGGTAGGGGTGCGATGTGCTACAAGAAGGGCCCACCCTTCAGCAAGATGCCACCCCATGTTGAGGGGGAGGTGTAGACGAGCACAACCGTCACTGCTCTGGCGCTGACTCAGCCATATCAGAGGCTTTGTTGAGGGGTGTGGGTCGATTCTATCGTCGACGATAATTGGGTCATCGCGCCGATGGGCGGAGCCAGCGGCGTGGCGGCCGCCGCGTACGAGTTTCATTGCGTGGCGGCTCCTTCAAATTGTTAAAGGACTCTTCATCACATTTTGATGCATACTTTAGTAATATTGAATTATCTCCTTCTCCTCATCTGTCCTCAGTTTGATAGCGAAATACTCGTATAACTGCAAACTGCCGTGCCAATAAAACCGATTCCTTTTGAAGTTTCACACAATGTTGCAACAGGTTGTAGATTGTTACAAATTGCGTGACAAAGCGGACGAAACAGTATCATCACGGAATCTTGTAATTTTAATCGATTTCCGTGCCCTCATTATCAGATCCATACATTCCGGTGGCAAAAAGTGCTTTTCGCTGGGAATCGTGACCCTGTCCATATATAGCCGGCAGGTATAGCAGAACAGAGGCGAACTGTTTGCCTTAGGGACTGAAGTATCCTCAGGACCTAACAACGCATTATGACAGTGCTGAACGTTAACAGCGCTAGATTAAGTAGATATTGATTACAAGCAGTTATGAAAGAGCACTGAAAAGATTGGGGGCAGTGCTGGATTGTGGCAGTTAAAGACGAGGTTTATGTTAAACAATCACGTGGAAACCGTCGTAAACATGCCAAAAACGAGGCAAGGAGCACGATAATAGTTTTCGAGCGTTAGCGAAGAAACTGGACCGCAATAATGGTGGCATTGAAAACAACTGAGTATTCTAGCAGCTCACGATGGGGTTCATGCTTAAAAAATCACATGACAACCCTCGTGCTTATGCCAGAAATAAAAAGAGATAATATGGGAATTTTCAGGTAATAAGAAATTGTGACGAAAATGCTGACGTTAACTCAAAACCAAGAGGAAACTTCATAGAAAACGTCCCCAGAATGATTAGCGAATACCCCACGGCAGCAGTGAATAATGATTGACAAGTGCTGTTGCTGTAGATAAATTAGTTGAAGTTGAGCTAGCAATTCATTCCAGTGTGCTAACAAGGACGCCGTGAAACAATGCTAATCCCTTGCTCCAATGACAACTTGTGAGTACGGTAATGCAACCCCGGGATTGCCGCGCCGCGTCGCCGCGCGACACGCCGCGACGCGACGTATGCGGCGTGACCTGAGCTGCCGACGATAGAATCGACCGGGACCCTTTGTTGAGAAGGTGCAAACGACATGGCGTACCTTAGCCTCGTGGAATGTGGTCAGTGAGTGGTAAGTTCAGAACAGATTTCAGCCAAAGTTTT